AATGCTGGAAGGGTTGCTGTTCTCCAGGTGAGCAAGGAGACTTGGGCTCCTGGTGCGATTATTGCTTTCAATAAAAGTCCTTATATCTGAATCTGTCTTTGAAGATGGCACAGCCACAGCCTGCCCTTCTTTTTCTTGAATTGCCATCAGCTCCACGATGGATTTCGTTTCTCCAAATCTCAGGAATTGCTGAAGGGTAATGATCTCTTCTTCCCTGGACATGATGGCCCAGCGGTCCAGCACTTTGCCTGCAGCATCCTAGAGGTCATATCAAAGAAACAACAAAGACAAACACAAAGAAAAACTTATTGATTCTGCATAATTATTGAATTCAATAGAAGGTGCTTTGCTGCTTGAACATGAAACACAAAGCTCAAACAACAACATGCAAACAGCATTAATGGGGCTTGACCAAAAAATACAAACTTTCTAGACATGCAAATACTGTAATTAGAGTCAGTCAGAAAACCAGATTGAGTTTAATAATGTCAGAGCAAACAAAATGTAGACCATGGAGTTCTGTGATCTAAAATACTTTCAATGCTTTTATTTTAACAACAGTGACCTATGTAGAATGCTGCTGTTTAGCAGACATACATGTGAAACATGAACTGTTGCTGTGCACATCATTGTAAAATACTAAAATTTGTACTTTAATCACTATTAAATGGCAACACAGTGAGAAAGAGCTACATAAATGAATTTGATAGATTCGCTTCTTAAATACAAGGAGATTTAAGACAGAAGTCACTCATGGGCTATCTCACAAGAACTTTTGATGCAAGGCAAAATGTCTTTAAAATAGCACATAACACTTGTACCTTACTCCCTTTTTTCCTGAACTATTACAGTCAATTGATTGTAAGCTTGCAATCTTGGTATGGTTTAGACTTAAGAGATGGCTTTTTTGCAGGCTTGTTATAAATGACAGTTAAAAATATGTAAAAAGTAAGGATCTGATGGATGTAGATAGCATAAATGTGTAAAAATGTTGTCTCTTAACATTGGCTTCTGATAGCAAGGGAAAAATCCAGAGAGAATACACATCAGTAATCACTAGACTATCTGTTGTTAAATATACATTAAAAAGCATTTCACACTTTCATTTTTGCTAGTAAGCATGAGATTTGCCTGAAGGTAGGACTTAAAAATTCTGCAATGTAATGTCAGGCAATCCATTCCAGCATGTATTGATAAAAACATATTAAAATACTTATATAATGAATACATCATTTTATTGGCATCTTTCCTTTTGGGCAAATGCTGGACATAACAACACAGTAACTATAACCAACAAGCACTCTTGCAGGCCATCAAACCAGAATTATTCCAGCGCTTCCTCATGTATTAAACAGTTTGAAAACCTTGCAAGATACTCCACGGCACTGTCTCTGATCTTTTTAAATCTTGAATCTCAGCTTCAGAACCTTATCCGAACACTTTGGACTACACACTATTGCAAAAACCACTAGTGCTTGTTTGATTATGAAGCCTGCAAATACCTTTCTTTCCCTCCAGCACCCCACCCCCTGTGCCCTAATTATTTATTTATTTCTCTCTTTTCTGTCTTCAGAGGATTGCTTCTTC